GCAATGCGCTGCCACTTCGCAACGGATATCGCAGCTACGCTGCATAGCGCACAAAGAGGCGGGACCATCTCCACATGACCTACGCACGTTCGTCATTGGATACTGTGCTTCCAAATTACGCTATGGCAGCGAGCTCATATGGGCAGTAGCGACGGATTCAGCGAAGAATGAGATGCAGAAGACGTACGCAACTCTAGCACGCATTGTCAGCGGAGTTCCGAGCACTGTTGACCCGGAATCCGCACTGCTGGAGGCTAATACGCCGCCGCTTCACGTCCTTTGCCTGCGCGCGCGGCTCTCAATATTTGAGAACACACGCGCATGTCAGATGGACTGGATGCGGAGACCCCCGCCTGAGCCACCGCCTCGCGCTGGTTTCCGCATCTCGCCATTATCTCGGGACGAGCTATATGCCTTCGTAGACGCACACACAAAGGACTATGGCATCACCGAGAGCTCACCACGCGAAGAGCGGTTCTTTCGCAGCTCCATTCCTCCCTGGTTTGCGGCCTCCGCACACCGGGTCACCATCGGTGCGGAGCTTCCGATAGACCACTCAATAACGGACGAAGAAGAGCTGATACGGGAAAAGCGCAGGGTCAGCGAAGAGGCTCTGGCGCTGCACAGCCACCGTTCGTGGATACTTGCGACCGATGGCGGTGTCGACGTTCCCAAGTCAGCAGGGGTTGGAATACTGCTTTCATCCCTCAACTCATCGGAGATAATAGAAAAGGCCAGCATAAACTGCGGTGCGCGCCCATGCAGCTACAGGACGGAATCCCGCGCACTGCTTCTAGCCCTAGAGAGGCTGATGATTCCTCGTATCCGCCACAGGCGTAAAACCCTGCTTGTGGTTACGGACAGTCAGTCCCTTCTAGCGGCTCTAAACAAGGGCCCGCTCAGTCAGACCGACTGGACGGAGGATCGGATCTGGCAGCGTCTCTTGACACTGACGTGTGCTGGCTGGTCCGTGCACCTGCAGTTTTGTTACGGACATTGCGGAGTACATGCTAACGAGCTTGCAGATCAGTATGCGACGCAGACTATGGAAAGTGGACAATACACGGAACAAGGAATCGCACCTTTATGGCATACGGATCTGCTGACATGTTTTACTACCCAGCTCACCAACAAGTGGCGTAGAACCATTCGTCAAGACACTCATCGCCACTTGCTTTGCGGCACAAGGCCATCAGATCTCAGCGGTAAGGACCTGATCACTCAGGAGGTTCTACACCGTCAGGAACTGGTTCACCTCGAAAGGGCAAGGTGCGGGGAATCTGAGCTCTGGGGCCGACTATACTGGGCCGTGAGAGATTGCACGAACCAATGCCGATTCTGCAACATCTCACCGGAACAGTCTGCATATATGCGCTCTAACAACGATCCAACTGCACCGGGGACGGACACTGTTCCCCCGTCGGCGAGGGAGGAAGACGTCTCTCCAGTAGGGAGACGGACCCTCACACGCCGTCGGAAGGAGAAATGTCCGCACTGCGATTCCACGTTGACGGGATTCTCGGGTCTCGTCAGTCACTGTCGGCCATTCCATCCGGAACATCCACCGCTTCCCGAGCTCAAATGTGATTTCTGTGACATGGTTTTCCCCACACGGAGAAGCACCGCACCGCACAGAAGTCGCTGCGCACACAACCCAGACGCCACACGGCATCGAAACAGCAGTGCCAGGAGGCGATCCCTGCTGCCGCAGGATCAGCCAGCTTCCACAAGCACGCCAATCGGCCCGCAGGAAACCTTGCACCATCTGCTTCCAGAATGTCCAGGCACCTTGGCTGTGCGCCGACGGCTGGGCATTGAGCAGGACCTTCGCCACGGAAAGTTCTCTCAATGGCAGTTGTTTCATAGCAGGAAACTTTTGTCGTTGCTCGACCACCTCTTCGGCACTCAGATGGCACTGTATAGCCAGAGATGCCGGTAAGAGTAAGGGGAAGAAAAGTATTTTTTGGTTGAGGAGAAGACCACCGGCTTACGACGACGGATCGCGAGGCCACGCGACAAGAACAGAGACGACCCTTACGAGGCTAGTGCTCCTCTTTCGCGCATTTCCCACTATTTGCCGCCTGTGATGGCTGAGACCGCTTTCTGCCTGGATGTTGAGACGTCCCTTTTTCAATTCTCTTTACCGCGGGAGACTCGGCATCTCTTTTGATGCCGCGTGGAGGACGGCACGCTGGTGGAGCTCACACGGCTCCCTATGGGATACAAGGCCGGCCCAGAAATTCTCCAGATTATTATTACTTCGGCGATTGCGGGGTGACGACGGTGGCTCAGCGCCTCTGGGGCGCACCTCCATTGGTGCGTGCCGACGTTCGGATCGATAATATACGCATTGCAGGGTCGAAAAGCGATGCGACATTGTGGGAGGACCGCGAATCGGGCGCCACGCATTACACCTTCCTGGGGGTGCAGTTTGATCATACTCGCCAGGCGGTATCTCTGAGTGACAAGTTTGTCCTGTCTGTACGCGCCATGCCGGCACTCAATTCACCAGCCATCGCGGGAGTGGGGGTTGTGGCGTCACGCTTTTAGTATGCGGCTGCCATTTTGTGCACGCGTTTATATGGCAACTACGTTTTCAGAAAGGCAGCGCGACGACGATTATCCGCACTTAGCCGGGGATTGTGCTGGAGACATCCCCGGCGAACCTTCCGCCGTCAGAGGCTGGTTTGGGCGAGAGATTACGACAAATGATTGAGAATAACCGTAGGCGAAATAACAAGCCCACGGAAAAGGCATCGGCTGTCATCACCAGGGATGCATCACTCCATGGATGGGACCCGTTTTTATTACACAATCAGGCGACGTTAAAATTGCCGGAGGGAAATGGGAGAGGAAGCCTTTTTCTTATCATGCAGGCCGAGGCGCGCACGGTACGCTTAGCCTTATCGGCCTTTTCCGCCATCTTGCCACCCACCATGGACGTTTGGGTGGACAACACTTCGCCGCAAGGAGCGGCGAATAAAGGCAGCTCGGAAACACACCATGACGTGGGTGCTGCAACGGATATATGAGTTTTTAGTCTCTCGCGGAATACAGGTATCCTTTGCCTACGTGCGGTCTTCGGAAAACCCCGCAGACGGCATATCACGCGGTCGTGTTTTTACACTTTAGGACTTGGCGAAGGGGTGGAACTTGCGAAGGGGAGCGGCGGGGTCTTGTGGTTGGAGGACCCCAAAGTCTGCCACCTCCTAGGTAATAAATGTTTCAGATCCTAACTGAGCACAAAAGCCCACTCACGTGGCCAACAGAATATATATTTTATCAGAGGAAAACATTGAGGCAATTAAATGGTTTTGCATTAACTCCTTTTCCCTGTTTTGTTTGATTTTTTGAGATAATTTTAGGATCCGGCCAGCTGCCCAGGCGAATATTAATAATTATTTTCCAGAACGTTTGCCTCTTTTTTTTTTTTTCTGTGCTTTCCAGTCTATTATTTTAAGTAGCTCTTTTTAAAATTGGGTTCTTGACTCGTATGACTCCGCTGTGAATGGGAGGTAGCATTGTTAATTTATTGTATATGAATGGTACGCTTGTGTTTTTATTTTTTATTGCATTTTTTGCCCTACTTGGTGAAGAGCCATACATGAAATTAAGTTTTGAATTGAAGCCGCTGGTCATCTTTGTTTTACCGCGTTTGATGTGAGGGAGAAAGGAAAAGCTTTATTAGGGTTTGCGCAGTGTATGAGAATCTTTGATTCATACTATTTTCTTATGGTTGATTAGAGCAGATCACAATTTTATATGTGTATGAAGTTAATATGCCGAAATAAGAAAGGGGAATATATTTTTTGTTGCTACCTTTTGTAAATGACCGATTTTCCGAGTGCTTTTAAGGTTTTTTTTTTTTAAATGCCGCGCGGCTTACTGGGAGATAGAACCTAATTTTGCTGAGAAAACAGATTTTAAGAGAAGCCTCGCTTTGTCTTTAAAAAATATGAATATACGCATTTTATTTATCACAAAACACCCAAAAAGCCGCTTTTGCGAACCCTATTTGAATTTTTTTATTTGAATTTTTTCTGTCATTTCGCTTTCTCGTGTCATATATATATATTGTTTCTCTCCTTTTTTTTTTTTTTTTGTGAGTGAGTGTGATTTTTTACTTTTTGTTTTCCTTTTACTTGATTATTGTTATTGCAGTTGATCAATCTTTTTTGTGGAATGTGGATTACAAGAAGAAAATAAATGGGGAAATAAATTTCTATAGAGGAACAGGGCAGAAGCTAAGGTTGTTAATTCAGAAATTTGTGTGTTAGTCAAATTAACTTACTTTGCCGTTTTTTCGAATATACAATTGCTTTTTTCTTACTTTTTAAAAAACATTTGGGATGATTTTTTGACAAACACCGATGGGTGTCTTTAGATCGAGATGATGTAAGAATTTTTTTATTATGCATATATGTTGTTCAGTTTTTAATAAGCAATAAGGCCTTTTTTTTATTTTGGATGGAGGTCCGCTAAAGAGAACAGAGATAGCATGTTTTGTTTTGTTGAGTCGGGATACTTTTTCTCGGATTATCCCGGATGAAATGCAGTTTTTAAATGTGATTCTTAAAGATACATATACTCTTTTGTGTGTATTCGGGTCAAACAAAGAAACCAAACAAACCCATATTCATCTTACTGAGTCTATTTTCTAATTTATCTGCAACAAACTCCTTAACAAGTATTATTTTTAAGAATGAATGAAATGAATAAGGAAGGTAGTAGATTGAGGAATAAATAAAGACTTGCTAAGGGAATATTGGTGAAAGAAAATAATAAACAAAAGGTTATGCATGCAATGTGAAATGCGGTGGAGTTTGTGGAATATATATTTTGTTTTAATTGTTTCTTTGGTTTTTATATTTGAATGTTGTATTTCTTTCCTTTTTAAACGTTTTTTGTGAAGTTGCACTCAGCCAATCTTTATCTGCCTTTTTTTTTTTTTTTTGAGAAATTGCGTGTGGTTTCATTTATCCGAGTTGGGTGCCGGGCGAATGTTGAAGCGGTATGAAAGGACAAAACTAAATGTCCTTCGTGGGGAAAGGTTTCTGCGTCTTTGTGAAGTTTCTTACAGAGCCGTGTGTCGTGATCCTTCTTTGGGTGGGGCAGAGGGAATTGCTAACATAGAGGATAGAACGTGGGAAATGGTACAACGGACTTTTCAGGCTTCTCCAGAAAGATGTTCACTCAAAAATGCTCCATTTTCTGTAGATGGTGTTGAGATTTGCGCCTTATTGCGTCGTCCGGATAATGTATTTCTTATTTTAGTTGCACAATATCGTCCCCCAGTGGATGCGGTTGTGTTGGAGTTTCCTGCAGGGTTAGTGGATAATGGTGAAGATGTTAAGAGCGCAGCCCTACGCGAACTTAAAGAAGAAACGGGTTATGTTGCCACTGAAGAAAACATTATAAGTGTGACTGATGCACTCTGTTGTGAACCCGGGATGACTGATTCCTGCTGCAAATTTGTGAGGTTGTTTGTTGATGGTGAAAAGGAGGTAAACCGCTTTCCACAGCAAGAGTTAGACGAGGGTGAAGACATTGAGGTGATCTTGCTTCCAATATCTTTAAAAAAGGGAGTTGCTGGGGGTGATACCCCTCTACAGTCGTTGAACAAGCTATTACACGAAAAAAATAAAGGCCAACAACGAAACATTGTCGACGCAAAACTGTATATGTTTCTGGATGGTCTCTCCCAGATGAGTACGATGTTTTGTTAACACTGAGTTAACGGAAAAGAAATACCTTAGTTAAAATTGAAGTCTTTTTTCTTTACTGAAACGGAGGAAAATGAGGAATTATGTGGAAAGAGAACAAAAGGAAGAAAGAAAAAAGATAATTGTCTAAGAGATGCCTTAATGTATCTGATATAACGCACACAAACACACACGGATTTGCTGATGGCTTTTTAAAAAAGGTACATATAATTATTTTTCCTTATGGTTTTATCTTTGGGGATGAGAATGGGGGTTGGTCGTGTCTTTTGAATTTGATATCGACAACAACAAAGAAAGCTTTTTAGATGCTGTCTCACTCATCTCAGTTGTGTTCTTTATGGATTGAATCCGCACGTGTGATTCGCTTAGACCATTGTCGCTGCCCGGGTAGGCTTGTTTCAACAGGGCTGGGAGTATCTTCGGAAATAAGGAAAACAAATTTGAACGGAAAAAGTTACACCTTGGACCCTGTGGAAATGGAACCTGTCTTTGGCGTAAATCGTGCTTCCGATTTTTCAGAAAAGGGAGGTTTATGTTCTACTAATGAAACAAATGAAAAAAATGTTTTGTTGAGTGGTGGGGATATAGTATCGCGCAACCAAAAAGAAGTTGATAAAGTGGAGCGTGTTGCGCTAGTGGCGGAAAAGGAACATGAGGAGGAAGAACCATTAGCAAGAAATTTGCACAACACAATAGGCCCCACACCGTATCGAGTCTCATGGTATGACTATGGCTCTGTCAGTCCTTCCAAGCGTTTTACTTATTGGGCCTATCGTCGCCTAAAAGAACTGCCGACTGATTGGCAGGAATATTACCGTCGTATGTTGTACCAAGAAATTAGTGCAGCGCGTTATGTTAACCAAACCTGGGACTGTTTTATGATGGTTGTGGATGGTTACCGAAAGGCAAAGTGGATCCTAAAGAAGTACGGCATTTCCATTGATGAGAGTCTGATTCCAAAGCCTTACAATAATTTTTGGGAGGAAACAACGCATGAGGAACGTGTATGGGCTCACCGACGTTCTCATCAGATGAAGGAGCTTCAGGCTCTTTACCGGGATGAAGATGAACTTGTGTTTGGAGCACATACGATGGATCGCCGAGAGGTTTCACATGGATCAATAAAAAACGTTCAAACAGGTATGCAGGGAGGGACCCCAGTACATGCGCTTGATCTACCGGCTCCCTGCGAGTCTGAGATAAAAACATCACCCCAAATAGAAGATATGAGCAGTGCTCTAATGTCTAGTATAGAAGATGACAAGCTCTGGAATCCAGTTTTACGTTCTCGCATTCATACCCGGCGTTCGAGGGAAGAAGTTGAGTTGTATTCGTTTGAAGACGATGAGGAGGATGAAAATAGCCCTAGTTAAGATTTTTTTTTCTATATGAGCTTAGGATATCCTTTATCACCTTGCTATTCCTTTATTCACGATTTGTTCGCGGCTTTCAAAATAAAAAAAAATATTTCTTTCTTCACAATTTTTGCTGGAGTCAATTTTGTTTAATTCTTTCTGTGACTTTGAGCCGTAATCCTGGGGACTAACACCCCATCTTATTTACTGGTCACCAGGGAACGAGGTGAGAAAAAAAAGGCAAATTACAACAAATAATAGTAATAATTAGAGGACCTGCCCCCAGCACAATGGCAGATCTTCTAACGATGCAGCAAATCACAGAGCTAAAGGAGGCCTTTGCTGTGTTTGATAAGGACTCTGATGGAAGCATTACCGTGGAAGATCTTGGTGAGGTTTTTGAAGCCATCGGTCAGAAGGTTTCGCGGAACAAGCTGCAGTTGATGATGGCCGAGGCAGATTTAGATGCCAATGGAGTAATTGATTTCCCGGAATTCCTCACACTGGTCGCCACCAAACTAAACGACCCAGAGGAAAAAGAGCTGGAATTGCGTAGAGCCTTTAGCATCTACGATCTCGGAAAGACGGGATTTATCAATGTTACCGATTTGAAATTTGTAATGGGCCGTCTAGGCTGCCCACTTTCGACGGAGCAGGCATTCGAGATGGTAAACGAGGCAGATATTGACGGTGATGGGCGCCTAAGCTTTAATGAATTTCGTCGGGTGATGAATGAAGGATGGCCTTGAGGAGTGAGGGAAAACTCTCAAAATGTTGCTTTCCGTTTTAATGAATTGAATGGATGAATAAATGCCCCACATGTAAACAACAACAAAAAGTGTGAAGGAGTATTTTCCTTCTGATCCTCCCATTGATTTTTTTTTTTTGAATTATTATTATTTATTTGTTTTATTTATTTATTTATTTATTTATTTATTTATTTATTTATTATTATTATTATTATTATTATTATTATTATTATTATTATTATTATTATTATTATTATTATTATTATTATTATTATTATTATTATTATTATTATTATTATTATTATTATTATTATTATTTTGGTGGCGTTGGGGGGAAGACTGTATCGGGTGACCAGGCAAGAGGGCAAACGGAACAAACACAGAAACACACACACACACACACACACAAAGAAAAGAAAACTAATAATATTTACATCTACATTAAAACAGAGAGCCGCTGGTAGGTTGTGTGTGTGTGTGATAATGATGATACAATCGCTGCTTCACTACTCAGAGCAGAACAATGTGGATGACGATGGTGATTTTCCTCCATTGCTTCGCAGCGTGATTCGCCCCGCATCGCACTGCCCGTTATTTGATTTGAAAATTGAGGAAGAACACACATGGCCTTGCGCCAACTTGCTTAACGGCAACGCTCGCTACCGAGTTCAATACCAGAACGGAGCACATCTTGTAATGAGTGATAACCGTCTTCTTGTGGTTTGTAACGGTGAGCACTTTTATTGTCCGCCGTGGAATACCCCCATCCGTGATGCGTGCGTCCAACGGCAAGGGGCAAACGGAAATTCCATTCTAGCGGTTGGTCTTGCAGATGGGCTGTATTTGGCGCTACTTCAGAGGAATCCACAGCTTCAAGTCACGGATGATGTTTTTCTCACCATGAAGCAATCAGTAGAAAAGATTGTCTTTTTACGTGACGGCGAAATGGCGCTCTGTTACGGGAATGCTCAAGTGGAAATTTATCGGATCAACACAGAAAATCTCCAGAAGGTGAGCCTTGTCTCAATAAACAGAAATCACACGTTAAATCTTTTTCAGGCTGTGGCATCTCTTTGGGACACAAGACGGTACCGCGACAGCGCATACGATTCTGGCAATGGAAGGATGTTCGTGTTGTCGGACATTGATCTTACAGTGTGGGCCTATAAATCAACGGATGCATTTGCTGCAGTGTGTTCTGTACGAATTCAAGAGAATGTAGTGGCTGTGCTTCCAAGTTCTCAATTGCATCGATACGCCATGCTCGTTTTCAATGATGGAGGGCGACAGCCTGTGATTGTTGAAGAAACATTTGCAAAGCGATCTGATGAGACCCGTACGGTGATTCGTTTGGGCGCTGTGCGTCCGTTGCCCGAAGATGTTCTTCTTGACACTGTTGAATTGGCGTGTCAGGATGCTGAGGGAAATACAATGTTGTATGACTCACGGAAATGCACATTGGTGATGCTTACTGTTGCCTCGCCCATTTACGAGGATATTTTTGATGTAGTGGAAGTTGTATCCCCTCTTCGATTGAGTACTAGAGCCGTGGGAGTGGCGTGTGTCAGCGAGCTACAGGATCTCTCTGCGTCTTTTATTGTATATGGCAAGGGTGGGATTCTTTGTCGTATTGGCGTGCGATCCCTTGGCTACATGTTTTATGGTCTTTTGCAAAAGCAGGGCTTAACTGACGTGATCCGCGCCTCGTTGCACAGGCTTGGGCCAAAGAGGGGAATAGAAGCATTGGTAGGGGCAGCATTTGCCGGTGCCTCGAATGAAGTTTTGTCACCACTTTTACAAGAGTTTATGCAACCATCCTTTTGTGAAAATGAAATGCGTGTGGCTCCTGGAGTAAATGGAATCATTTCCCTTGTGAATCGCGAGATTACTTTGGCAGAGTGTTTGTGGAATGCACCATTCTCATGGCATCTGATACCTGACTTAGAACGTATTGCCTTGCAATTATGGGCGTGGCATGAAAAACTGGAGGCGCTGCTGCGTCCATATGGTTGGTTGGACTGCCCCAAGCAGCTAAATCTTTCTTGGAATGGCTTTGTGGCCACTTCCCACGACCACTTTACCATAAGAACGGCTCTTAATACGCAGGCTATGCTTCTGGAAACACTTTTAAAAGGACTGCGTGACGCCGGTGTATTGTGCTGGCTTTACAGCCTGTTATTGCGGGGGAAACCTGGTATAGATACTATGAGACAGAATAGACTGAAACCCATTGTATGGGGTGACAACCCAAGCTCAACTATTGCATCACTTTGCATGGAGACTCTGTCAGCTGCTGATGGTTTTGTTATGTCTCAACTTGAGGCTCGGAAGAACGTTCTCCCGATACGCGCCCGCCACGCCATAAGCATTCATCTTTGCATCTCAGGAAATCAACCTGATGCGGCACTGGCGTATGCCTGTGATAATGTTCGATCGCTGCGCCATGAACAGGTATTTGAGTATGTGGCGGAAAAGCTAGAAGGCACATTTCCTGAGCGTATGCCGCACCTCCGGTTATTGTTGTGTTGGCTGAGATACAATCGGGGCGCCATTGTGGAACTGTTAGAGATGCTGGAGCGATACAGGATAAGTGAGTCGTCAGAACAGTTGAAACTGCGTCTTGGAGTGGTCTTACAGGCTGTTACCGAGTATCCTGCACTCCAGCACGCTGTGGTCCGCTGGATGGTGAATTATCCCCTTGAGGATGACCGTGTGATGGGTTTTGCGGAGTTGCTAGAGGAACACTCTGTGGTTATTGATGAACCGCAAACTCTCACGGCTTTGTTTTTTGTTTCCTGGGCTAACCGTAATCGGCGCCCCGCTTTGGCTGCGCGAGGATTTTGCGACATCGCAAGGGGCAGACGGCGGCTTGCACTTCCCTCAAGAATTTTATGCATTAAGCTTGCATTAGAGTTTGCCCCAACTGTATCTGAACAGCTTGTCTATTTTGTTCTGCTATTGCAGGAGGAGTTGGCTGAAGCAATTGAAGCAGCGTGGCGTGCGGATGCAGCTCAATCTGATTCCTGGCGAGAAGGAAAGGTTGAGGCGGATGTGGATGAGTTGCGTCATTCTTATCTGGACGAGCGGCGACTCTTCCAGTTGGCAGGGGAGTACAAGGAGCAGGGTGGTGCGAAGGTTCAGTTGGACTTGCTGAAGGTGCACCCGGAGACACCAGAGAAGGTCACGGTGGAGGTTTTGCACGACTTGCTCGAGTTTCTCATTAGAAAGGGCATGAGCGCCACGGAGGCAGCGAGGAATGTTGTGCGGGAATATTATGACGGTTATGCTGCCGGCTTGCCATTGTTGCCATTTGTTGCCCTTCTTGCCCAGCATGGGGTTTCGACAGAGGAGATCGCTACGTTGCTGCAGTCAAGCGGGGTGCCCACGTACGCTGTGGTTGAATTCTTTTTCCACTTTCTGGATGAGCGTAGCGAAGGATTGACCTTCAAAAAGGGGTCATTAGTGACGACACTGGTGGCGATGTTAGCTCAACTGTCTGGCGAGAGCAGGGACATCTGCGCGGCATATCTGCTGGAGCGCATCCAAAACTTGCTGGAAGGCGAGCAAAAAGCAATGGCGGCAACAATAACGACGAATAAAATCCTACAGGAAAGTGACATCATGCAGCTGCAGCGTGCGGAATCCTTACTGAAGCGGCCACGCACTGTGTCTCCTCCATGATTTTGTCAGCGGGTGGCAATAAAGGCAACAAATATAGATTAAACAAAGAAAAAGCTGAAAGAAAGGTGGGAGCAAAACAACAGCAATTGAGGGAGTAAACAAAAGGTGGTTGTGAAGCGAGAGAGGTGAGCGTGTATACCACCGCTTTTCTGATTGGAAAGGCAAAAAGGGGGGGGAAGGAAGTCAAAAAGAAAGAATAACAAAACAGAGGAATACACACATACACATACCACGGCAGAGGAAAAGAGGTGAATGTACATGATCTGCAAACAGGGAGGAAAAAGAAAGGATGTGGAAGAAGACACTCTTGTCTTGCGTTTTTTCCCTTTTTTTTGTTGCTTTTCCACTCTTCATTCCAACCACTACGACCGCTGCTCCTACTGCTGCTCATTGAGCTAAATCGTTGAAGTACGCGATTTGCTTTTATCCATCTGTTGCATTCATCATTTGCTTACCCCCTTTTCTCCTTATACAATGCATGTGTTTGTTTTGATTTTCTTTCTTTCTCTCTCATTTTTTTTTTTTCTTTGCTTCACACTTTATTTTTCTCTCTTGGCGTTGGGTGAAGCCAGCCCCCTAATGCGCCGTACGACCGCCTTATTGACTTCACAGCTGCTGAGCTTGGCTACCACCAAGATTGCTTCGACGGCGAGTGAGGGTACTATTGTTGGCGCTCCTAATATTGGCGGAGGTGGTGGTCTATTCTTTGCTGATCGCGCTGTTAAGATGACGCGCTTGACTACACCAGGTTTCTCCTTGATTTGCAAACCTTCCATCCTGAGCTGTGAATCTCCTGACGCCGCAGCGGCGGTGCGTCTGATAACGGAGGAGCCGGGCAAAGGGCCTTCTGCGAGGATACAACTGGTCGGCATGTGCACCGTCTCTTTTTTCCGGTCCCATCGAATCGTGTTTCATTGTACGGGGGAGCTGGGGCGCGTGCAACGCCATGAAATAGGTCTCAAGAATGGTGACGTTCTTGCCGTGCTCAGGGGATGTGATCTGATGCGGGATTGGAAATCCGTCGAGCGAACATTGCGTAGCGTCGCAGGTGAGGACCCTGAGTACATGGCAGAGGAGATATTGTTGAATTTGGCATCAGACGCGAGGGCCACCAAGAATGGAAATGCTCTGAATAATGCTGGTTCTAGTGGTATTGATGATGACGATAATATTAACACTAATGCCAGCGTGGATGACAAAGAAGTCAGCACAAGTGACAGTAGTATGCCTAATGGGATATGCATCATGACGGTTGTGAGGAATAGGCCTTCCGAGGAGCTTCCGCAACCACCATCCTACTTGAACTGGTCGATGGCGTGTGGGGGAGAAAAACAAAACGGCAGCCAAAAAAAGGCTGGGTGGGGGAGATGAAGCCGGAATTCGTGCAGCTGAGGTGAGGAGAGGGAAGCATGACAAGGAAGGAAAAAAAAACAAAAAAAAAACCAAAACAAAAAAAAAGTAAGAAAAAAACAAAGAAAGACAGAAAATATGTGTTAATTGCATGCAGGGTGGAGAAGGCACCCCGTGCGAAAACGGAAAGTGAGAGTAATACGAAAGAAAAGGGAGGGATGGAAGTCAAAAAAAAGAAAAAAAAAATAAAATGTGGGAAATATTGAGTAAGTTGAATGAATTTTCCTTTTCCTTTTTTATTGCGCTGCTGGATTGTCACCAGTTTTTTTTTTCCGCTTTGCTGTCTTTGGACTAAACACACACACACACACAGAGAGAGAGAGAGAGAGAGAGAGAGAGAACGAGAGAAGGAGAGCGGATGAGAGAGAATAATAATAACAAAACACACACACAAAAAAAAAAAAAAAGAGAGAAAACGACCGTTGATCATCAACAGGTGTTACTGCTGTTGGGGCACGGTACCTGCATTTTCCGACCGGTGAAAGAGGGATGTATGCGAATCATCATTTTTCTTTATTTTTCTGCGCTGACCTTCTTTTTCTTCATTTTATTGATGTTGATGTTGTTGTTATTCTCCTTTTTTTTTTTTTTTTGTTGTTTGTATATATATATATATATATTGATTTTTTTTTGTTTTGTGTACCCACGTCTTGCTTCACGGTTCTGCGTCTCAAGAAGACACGGAAATTCCCTTTCTCTTTCCCCTTTCTTCTTTTTTTTTTTTTTCCGTTTTGGATGCTGTTGCGGATCCATTTTTTTTTTTTCTTTTCGTGTTGTTATTATTCTTCCTGGTATTATTTCTGCCTCACTCTAATTTCCCTTGCGAGTTGGGGAGAGAAGGGGAGAGGCATGAGGGAGCATGTGCGTGTGTGTTTGTGTGTGTGTGTTTGCCTTGCGGCATGTGGGCCCCTGTCAGCATCCCGGACCGGTGCAAGTTTGGGTCGGCGCATGCGTGCAAGCAATACATGCATGCATGCACTGCGCGGGGTCCTCAAGGCCTTTTTTTCTCCTTTTTCCTTTCACTTTATTTGACACTTGTCACAGAGCGTTTAAATCACACCGTTCATTGCATCCGGACCCCCTGTTACAGGCGAGGTTGAGGGAATGTTTATCTTAATTGACCGCACCTCCTCTTTTTTTTTTTTTTTCTTTTGGTTTTGTTTCGTCTGGATCGCGCCGTTATTACGAGGAAAAGATGAACTTTGAAACACAAAAAAAAGAAAAAAAAAAAGAAAAAAAAACAAACAAATCTGTAGCCTGTCCGATGTATATGTATGACAAGTGTGCATCTTGCATACTTATGTGTATAAAACATGTATACGTACTCCTGTATTTACATCCGCGTATTTATTTACGTGTGTGTGTGTGTGTGTGTGTACGTGCGGTTCTGATCTATTTGAGAGAAGTAACGACTTTTGTTCATATTTACATATATATATAAAATATGTAAATAAATAAAATAAAATAAAATAAATATATCGCCGACAGCCGCATTTACGTCTATTTATATATTTATATATTTATATATTTATATGAACAAAAAGAGATCGAAACAACTAATCCTTTTTTTTTTTTTTTTAATAATTCTTCTTGTGTTTTTTCATTATTATTATTATTATTATTATTATTATGATTGTTGTTGTTAAATCCGGGTTTCATATTGCTGTACAACTTTCCAAAAAGAAATCGTGAGCGTCGTTCAGTGGAGTGCGAGCGGGAAAGAAGTGAAGTTATGCTGAATCTGAATAATGGCAAAAAGAGAGAGGAAATGAAAAAAAAAAAAAAAAAAAAGAAAAAAAAAGAAAAGAAAAGAAAAGAAAACAGAACCCAAACCTGTTTAATAATGCAAATAATATGCAGGGGATGAAGGGGAAATGAAATTATATATTCGTACAAATACACTGACAAAAGTGCTTTCCGTGTGATATTCCCCCGCCAAAATATATCTATCTGTATCTATATATATATAAACGGGGCATATAAATATATATATGTACATGTATATATATACACACACGCAATGTATATGTTACATGTTCTTTTATATACGGTGGCCTTTATTGTTGGTAAAAATTGAGGGAATGAAAAAGAAATAATAAAAAAAAAAAAAAAAAAAGAGAGAGAGAAGGACTGGGGATAGTTTTAACTTTTATTATTATTATATTTATACGTGTATGTGATGACGTCTCCTTGATTTTAAATATTTTTGTCAATTCCCCGCTCTGTTTTGCTTCCGCGTGTGATTTGTCTCGAATCCAGCATGTACCACTCGTGCTTTTTTTTTTTTGTTTTTGTTTTCAATGGTACAAACACAGTGAATGAAAACGATGTTTATTTATTTTGTGTTTTTTTTTTTTGTTTGCCTTTTTTTTCTTTTTTTTTCAGACTCCATCCGTGACGAAGTGATATGAGAAATTAGACGGGAGGAGGGGGCTCGCGCACAACTGGCGTCCCCCTTTCCTCAGTTGCTCTCTCTGCATATTTGTACTTATTTTAATTGCTGCCGTACACTACGAAAAAATCAGTCAAGGAAAAAATGTTTTTTTTTTTTTGTTGTTGTTTTTGTTGAGATTTAAATTCTTCTCCTTCCTTCTTTTCTGTAGGCGCGTGTCTTTAAGAAAATTTACGCCGCGAAATGTACATGTGGCGCAGATGGCACATATTCGATGCAAAGAAATATTTTATTTTTTTTTTTTTTTTTTGTGTTAGTGTGTGTGCACGTTTACGCGCCTATTCCGCGCATAATCTTTGTGCTGGTACAAATGGATGTGGTGACCGGGGCACGGTGAATGCATATTTGTATCCCTGACCATATGTGATTCTCTACCGTTGCTGCCTTTGCTGAGGAAGTGTACGCGGCATCACACCAGACGGCTACAAAAAAATGAATAGTGAAATTAAATGAAGGAATTGGTTAAAAGGTTCAGAGAAAGAGGAAGAAAAAAGAAAACAACAAGAAGGAATGAGGCTTTCCCAAATTTGCGGGAGAAATGCAATGAAAGAGTAGTGATGACACTGGTGTGATTTGGACAGAGGGTGCGGTTGAGCCATCATGAATCCCTTTTTTTTTTTGTTGTTCTTTCCTTGTGGATGGGTTCCTTTACCCTTTTTTAGATTTGTTGTTAACTTCCTCCATCGCTATTCACGCGAGGAAGATCGCATCGCTGCTGCTTGGGTGTGTGCGTGTGTGCATGCGGACCTTGGCTGGTAGATTTCTTTCTTTTTTTTTTCTTTCCTTCTTTTTGCCTCTTTGGCACCGTGCGGGGAGGCCATCCAAGTGGTGTTGCGGGTGACGTGTGTGTGTGTGTGTGTGGGAGGGAGGAGAAGTGCGCGTGCTGGCAAGGAGAAAGAGGGGGGGGAGAGAAATAAATATTGAAGAGGCTGGCGAGGCGGAGGACAAGGCGGATTTGTTTCTCAACGCGGCGCACACACTCCTGCAGGAGGGGGGAGGGGTGGGGATTAGATAACTGCCGAATACATAAGATATTCCTCGGCGTCAAGTCATACAGTTGCAGGGGATCAAAAAAAAAAAAAAAAAAAAAAGGAGAGGGAAAAAAGGGAAGATCGTCAACCCTTTCCTTCTTTCCCTTCCGCAAGAAAAATAAAAAACAACAACAACAAAAACAAAAGGGGTGCGAGTGGATAAGAAATTGATAAAAAGAAGTACTGCGTGTGTCAGTCTTCATGGCGTCCGTCTACCACCGCAAGATCACAATTAGCGCGGGTGAGGAGTGTACCATCAGCGGTAGTGGTGCCATTGAACTGCAGTTGCTCTCTGGAGTTGTGGACGTGGCTGGTGTTCTGCTGAAGGCAAAGGAAACACATGTTTTTTTCTTGGAGGCAGACAAACGCTGTGTCATTCTGTACACTTTGGAAGGAGGATCCGTTCAGGCCACGGCGGGCTTTCCATTTGAAACCTTAAAGACGGCAACTGGCATGGCTTCTGTTGTGCAGCTTTGCCGTCGCAGCTTGTCTGCGGAGCGTCGCACGAAGGTGCTTGTGATTGGGAAGAGCCACAGTGGGAAGACGCTGACAGCACACACCATTTGTAACTTGCTGCGGGACGACTCCGCAGGAGAGTTGACAACTGCTCCTGCTGCAGCTGTGTTTTTGATGGATCTTAATTCCGAGTCGAACTGTCTCCATGCCCCTGGGTGTGTCTCAGCCGTGCAGGTGGAGCATGTGCTTTGGCCGGGCACAACGTCGGCGCCGACTTTACTTCCCTTTTCTTTCTTTATTGGGGAGGCCACCCCACCGTCAGCGGAAAACATATTATCTTTTCTGCATTTTGTTGAGCAATTGCAGGAATGCACGGAGTCACTGTTGAATGGGGTGAATCACGAACGAGTCCATCTTGTTATCGACGCACCAGCGCCTGCTTCTGACATCAAGGAGAGCGTGTATTTCCGCAAGCTTATTGAATTGCTGCGCCCCACTCATGTCGTGACGGTCAGCCCACAGGATGGGTCGGAGACGTGGTCCACGTTTCTTCAAGAAGATGTACAGCGTGTTCTTCCAGATTGCGAGTTCTCACACGTTTCTCCGGTGGTGCGGAGGTGCACTACTTCTCTCCGCGAACAGCATCTGCGTGAATACTTTGCCGGCACCCCACAGTTCCCACTTGGGTGTGCCAAAGTAGTGCTGCCGCTCACACAGCTGCAGTTTGTTCAGTACGAGGCACACGGTGTGGATGAAGAAGTGGCGGTGTCGTGTCGCAAGGTGGCGATGACCCCAACTTTTGTCGGGTGTATTTGTGCCCTCTCGCACGCGGAAATGATAGAGGAGGTGCCGTTGGCACCGGTCGCCGGTCTGCTCCTTGTCGTTGCGGTGGACGAGGAGCATGAGGAGCTTGTTGCGATTGTTCCCGCCTGCGATGACTTGCCGCGTCGCATTGTGATTGTGCCGAACGAGACGAGAGCGGCGGAAACGCCTACGCTAAGCGTAACGACAGCGATGGCATCTATTGAAGAGTCCGTGGCCGTCTAATGTGGCTTTTGTAACAAAAGTGCTGTCGTTCTTTGAAATTTATTTATCTATCTATAATATATATATATATTTCTATGTATGAGCGTGCGTTCATATCTACGCCTTCGTAAGTGTTTTATTAAAGTTGAGTCTGTTTTCTTTTTTTTCTTTTATTTTGCTTTCTCTCTCTTTCCCTGTAATTTGCGTGCTGTGAGAGGTAAAATACATTCATTAAAGGAAAAAAAAGAAGGGGTGGTCGATCTCTGCGAGAGAGGATCGGATGCGCCGCTCTCTTCTGCACCAATCAGGGTCCACCGTGAACTGGAAGATAAGGGTGCGGCGCGGGGTGCAGCGGTTTGTGCGGCGGTACGTTCCGGATCCGCGCGATGACCCCCTGACGGAGGTGCCCATGAACGCGGAGACGTACAAGAAGACATATCTGCAGCAGGAGGGGGGCGTCCGTGTGGGAATACGCCCTGGCCAGTCGATCGAAGACTACATGGCGGAGCGTGACAAGAAGTGGTTGGAGGAGCAGAAACTTACCACGCAACGCCTTGTTGAGGAACAGCAGCTTCCCACAACGAGTGACGGCCAACTTTTCACTGGTGCCGGAACACGTGCGTCTTACATGAATGTTGATGCGGCGAACAAGCTGGTGAAGACACCCACCCCAAGTGACTATGAGGCAGACGAGGAGCTCATCTTGATGCGGCGCCAGCTGCAGGTAGAGAACGAGGCGGAGTACCGCAGGTTCGTGGCGGAGAAAAAACGGTCGGAGATGACGATGGAGGAGACGCAGAAGCGACGGCATCCACACCCAAGCGACCCAAACTACGACCCATTTAAAATAACGCCGGGCTACCGTCCACAGGACTCTGTCGCGCTTGCGCAATGGCTGAAACGACAACGTGAGTCTGGCAAGACGGCGAGTGGACTTTCGCTTCAGACGAAGGAGGGACAGGAGCGATATTACAATGAGGAGAAGATGGCAACGCAGTTTCATGCCAACCCCTTCGCCGCACGCGTGGAGGAGCCACGGGGACTTTCAAAGATGCGTGTGACAGCGTACTCACCCGACAGCATTTTTGTGAACGACAAGGAAGTGATTGGTTCCTGCATCGTCACGGACAAGGCGTATTATCACTGGAATGTCAGCAGTTTTGAAGAGGTGGATGAGCGCACCTTGGCGCTGTTGCTGCACTTGTACCCTGTACCAGATGTCATATTCCTGGGAACTGGGCGCAACCTCCACTTTATCGACGAGGAGCTGCGCATCGCCTTCCAGAAGCGTGGCTCCGTCATTCACTGTCTCACAACCCCTCAGGCATGTGGACACTTCGGTGTGCAACTCTCTGTTTCACGCCGTGCGGCCCTTGCCATTATTAACCCGATCCCCACAAACGGTTACGGTGTGGAATGTTTTGGCGATTTTGTTGAAAATGACATGTTTTCCCTCTCTGACACGCAGCTTGGCGTTCCCCCTATCAAACAATTTTCATCGACGATGTTCAAACCGAACAAGGTGGCGGAAAAGTACCGCCACATGCAAGGCACCGGTTTTGGGCCAAAGTACCACCAACTGAGCGATGGCCGGCTGGTGCGTCCAGGCACAAGTGGCACAAAGTTAAGACCATTGCTAGAGCCGGGTGAGGAAGTACAATGGGAGAGGCTACCGTCGTACTATCACTGGTACCCCAAGGAGCATCTTCATGACTACATTGAGAATACAACGATGCGAGAGATACAAGGGAAGCCCACTGGAGACCCAACGGAGCGGCGACTTTACCAATCAATGCGTGGTGGGAAGCCCGATAAGGAAAACGCCCCCACACCAGATTTGGCGCCTTGGGACTCGGCATCTATTCCCATCACGAAGTTTCCACACGAGCGTAATGACGATGAGATTGTTGTGGAGGATCCCAAGACGGGACGTATCATTGGCATGGACCGTGGAACATACGAGCGGTGGCGCATCATGATGCAGGAACGGCGTGAGGGCAAGCCGGAAAGTGATCCTGTTGAGTATGACCAGGAAAGGTTTGTCACAAACAAAGACGGGGTCGTATTTGACTTATCAAAGATGAAGTACAGGCCAATCTTTGAGGGGCGATGGAACCCACGGCGGCCTCAGAGCACTGGCAGGACAAACCCAATAATGACATAAAATTCTCTGGCGTTGGCTGTGTGGGGTGTCTTGTTGTTGTTGTTGGTTGTTGTTGTTTTTGTAGCACTAGTGGAGTTAGTGGTGGTCGCTGGTGTGTCTTTGTGGGACGAGGGGTGCAGAAACATCTTTTGTTTCCTTTCGCTTGTTTCTCCTTGCGGCGTCTCCTCCAGTCGATGGCGGGGGAGGCACGTGTCCAATTGGCCTTCGGAAATGATGTAAGAGCGTGCGCCTTGCGGAAATTTCATTCACTTGCACCCAAACGGAGGTCTCCGCTCTCATCATTACTTTTTTTTTACCTCTTCTTCATGCATGTCGTTTTGTTGACGCTTCCGTTTTTTAAAAAAATCAAACAACTGAAAAACAAAAGAAAACAATACGACGGGGTGGTGGGGAGGACAGACAGCACGCAAGGAGCGCAGTCCACGGGGATTGCCGGGCGCCTGCACTTTTCCTCCCGCCCCTTTTTCCCCTGAGCGCAGGCATTGATGGAGAAATTGGAGGACGGCGACCCGCGACAAAGGCGGCATATCGGTGGCGATGCGGCGCCAGCGACGAGGAAGACAGATAAATGTGAAGAAGAAAGGGGAGGAGAGGCCAACGACGACGAAAAAATTATTCTTCGGATCATTCGAACGCACGGGCCGCTGTTTGTCTGCGAGAATCCCTCACTCTTCCTGCGGACACTTCCGCAGGCGCGCAAGAAGCACTACCGCAGCGACCACCTCAGTATTGAAGAGCTGGAGTACTTGGGCCACTCCTTTGACATTGTCTTCAAGAACGAGCAGGACTCACACCGTCGTGCGTGTCTTCGTGAAAGGCATGCAACCTTCTGCCGGGTGTACCGCTACCTCACGGATGAGATGGGACTGCGACTGCGCCACGGGAGCCAATTTGGTGCAGCATTCATTGGCTACCGTGATGTGAGCGGACATGGCGAATATTTGGTGTATTTGGGGCCCTTGTCGCGACTGGAAGAAGTTGCGGCGGTTCGGGTGGCACGCAGCGTCGCAAAGGAGGCGTGGGTGGCGGAGGAACAGCAAGACGGCAGCGGTTTCTCCTTCACGAGACTGAGCCCGTCCGTCTCGGGGAGAGCGTCGCGCGAAACGCCACGTCAATTAGTGATGGGGACAAATGGGCCAAAAACTGTCAGCTAAGTATGAGCGGGAGGCGATTTTGTGAAATTACCCCGTTTTTGTCTCATTCTACCTTTTTATCTGCGAGAAGTTTACAGAGTGAGTCAATGGATGTGTGCCTCTCTTCCTTTCTCCCTCTCTCTCTCTCTGAGTGTGAGTGTGTGTGTGTGATCCTGTGTATAATTCATTTCTACTCGTTTCTTCTTGGATGGTGCCGCCGCGGTCTCAACTAATTTTTCCCTTTCATTTTCCCAATCCTTCACATACTCTCCCGTCTTTTCATGGATGCGTCAAACGCACACACACACACACACACACACTCAAACGCCCAGGAAGAAGAGATGGCTTGCCCACGTGTGCAGTACCGTCGCCGCATGCACTACGCGACGCGTGGGAACCGCATGAAGCTCGTGCGTACTCCCGGCAACCGCCTCGTCATGCAGAAGCGCGTCAAGCGCTCGCAGGGGCCGCACACGCCGTGGGTGTTGGGCCACAAGCGCCTCGCTGGCACGAAGGCACTGCGCCACACGGAGGCCCGTCTTGCTTCGCGCCATGAGAAGAGCACCTCTCGGCCGTACGGCGGCGTGCTTAGTCACGAGCAGGTGCGTGACCGCATTGTGCGCGCGTTCCTCATCGAGGAGCAGCGTATTGTGAAGCGTGCACTCAAGGCCCACGCCAAGTCGCAGAAGGAGAAGAAGCGCCGCGACTCCAAGAAGAAGCGCAAGGAGAAGAAGGCGGCCCTCACAAAGAAGATTGCGGCGAAGGTTGGCGCAAGGTCCGCGCTCACGAAGAAGACCACCGCCAAAAAGAAGGCGGCGTCCCGAGTTCCAGTCGGCGCGAAGGTCAAAAAGTAATTTAGGGGGCCACTCTTTTTTCAGTACTTTTTACGTAATATATATATATATATATATTTTCTCTTTTCACATCTTCCCCCTTTTTCTTTCCCTTCTTTTCTTTTCGAAACCGCAGGGCTGTTCTGAGAGGCAGAGGGCCGGGGGGAGGAGGAAGGAACGATAAAAGGGATTTGAGAACGTGCGAAAAAGGGACGCTGTCAACATGACTGTCGCTGTTGTTTCTTTTGTTTTTTCTTTCGGCTGTGAAGGTGGCTTCGGTCCTGATTGCCTTTTTTTTTTTTTTCCCTTTTATTTTTTCAACTCTTCAGGTCCGCGAAACGATGGGATTTTTTGACTCCGATCTCAGTTACCCGACGGTGCGCTCCGAGCGCATGAAGCACAAGCGCCGCCGCTTGGTGCAGGGACCAAACTCGTACTTCATGGACGTGAAGTGCCCGGGGTGCAACGCCATCACCATTGTGTACAGCCACGCCACATCGGAGGTGCAGTGCAATGGCTGCGCGACAAAACTCTGCCGCCCGACAGGAGGAAAGGCGATGTTGACAACCGGCTGCGGCTTCCGCAAGAAGGCTGACCACTGATTTGGGCCTATTCATGAGGATTGAGCGGACTAATGCACTTTAGTTTTGTTCTTTTTTTTTTTTTTTAATAGAAAATAAGAAAAAAAAATGGTACTGTGGGGAACTTTTCCGCCCCATCCGCGTGCCTACCCACGCGGCCATCACGTGGATTTATCTACGTATGGCCCTGTGGGTGGGTGCGCTTGTTGGCCTGAGGCACCGTTTCTCTTCTCCTCTTCCTGACTTGTGTATTTCTTGCTGTTGTTTTCGGTTTGACATTTTTTTTTTTCTTTTTCTGCGTTTGTTTCTGGCGCGTATGGCTTTTTTTTGTTGCCATTCACGTCAGGCTTTTTATTCGTCGCGGCAACATGTCGAAGATTCCTCCCGCACAGCTCTCGGAGGCCATTCAGGCAGTCCTCACAAACCGCAAGGAGCGCAAATTTAAGGAGAGCATTGACTTGCAGGTGAATTTGAAGAACTACGACCCGCAGAAGGACAAGCGTTTCTCGGGCTCCGTGCGTCTTCCCCACGTTTGCCGTCCCCGTATGACTGTCTGTCTGCTGTGTGACCTTGTGCATGAGGACATCGCCAAGAAGAACAACGTCCCGACAATGAACCAGGAGGAGCTGAAGAAGTTGAACAAGAACAAGAAGCTGGTGAAAAAGATGTGCAATCAGTACGACGC